CACACACACACACACACACACACACCACACACACACACACACACACACACACACACACCTTCACGCACACACACACACACACACACACACACACACACACACACACACACACACACACACACACACACCCACACACACACACACACACACACACACACAAACACACACCTCACGCGCACACACACACACACACACACACACACACACACACCACACACACACACACACCACACAAACCCACGCACACACACACACACACACACACACCTCACGCACACACACACACACACACACACACACACCTCACCGCACACACACACACACACACACACACACACACCCACGCACACACACACACACACACACCTCACACACGCACACACACACACACAAACACACACCCACCACACACACACACACACACACACCTTCACGCACACACACACACACACACACACACACACCTTCACGCACACACACACACACACACACACACACACACACACACACACACACACACACCTGCACGACACACACACACACACACACACACACACACACCACACACACACACACACACACACACACCTGCACGCACCACAGACCACCAGACCAGAAAAACACTATAATCGATGACCCGGACGACCACTGTTGCTACTATTTATGGTGGTGTTTGTCGGTGGCTGCGGTGACGTTTGGTACCGACGGGTGCCACAACCGCAGGGCGTGGCAGGTTTGGCATGGTACGGTCGGCCAGGGGGTGGCACTAAACCGATCCTGCTGCTGCCCTAACCACAAGAGGGGGGGGTGCACCGCCTGGAGGGTCCCATAACCGCGGGAGGAGGACACTGAAGGTGGGCTTATGGTCTACAGTGAGTAAGTGACACACACACGTCGCGGGCATACTGTGTATTTACAAAGTGAGTTGGCTTAATGTGTGTCGGACATGATGGAATTGTTATAACTGACGAAACTGGATCAAATATATCCTGCCACCTATCACCGCACGGTTCCTCAGCCATTACCAATAAAAATAATATAACCGTGATTGTTTTGTTTCATATAATAATAATAATAATAATAATAACTGTTTATGTGTGTGTTGTTGTCTCTTGTATTTATTTATCTTCACTACTTAAAAAAATAATCATAATTATTTTGGTTCTTTTGTTTCACGGCTGATGTGTCCCCAAGAGCCTTCACCTCCCCACCCCCCTCCTGCTCCCACCCGCTGCCCACCTCGCCCCTCCTGCTCCCACCCGCTGCCCACCCTGTCCACCTGCCCTCCTGCCCACCTCTGGCCCTCTTCCCAACCCCCTGCTGGGAGGTGGTTGCAACAGTGCCACCGTTCCTCACCACAGGCACTCACACTGTGGTCTGTCCTAAAACATGTTGTACTTCCATCATTAGTTCCGGGTAGTGGTAGAACCTTATAAGGGTGACCGTGAGGAGGAGACCGTGGGATAGAGGTGGTGGCCGTGGTGAAGGAGTCCTACAGGATGTTTACAGCTCAACACTGGCAGGATTCTTAGAGGTCTTACATTTAGCCTCCCAGGAGCAGTTGAATCAGGACGCACAGGATGCAAACAGTCAATGCGATACATAAAAAGCAAATATGTTGCCATGCTAAACCATAACGATACAGCAACAAGCAACGTCGTGTTGATAGCAGACAGTAACCAGTAACGTCGTGTTATGTTACAGTAACCAACGCTGTGTTATGCTGCAGGCGGATAACCAGCAAATGCTGTGTTGATGTTGGACAGTAACCAGTAACGTGGCGTGGTGGGCAGTGCCGGCATTACTGGGAGAGGACAGACACTTGAGCTAATGTTATCCATAGCAACGCATTTGTGCACAGTTAGCAGCACCTCTGGGGGTGGAGGGGGATGTTTTGTGGTCACCTGTCACGGGATTGGGAGGGTAGGGTGGGTGTGTAGAGGAGGGGGGGGGTGGGGGATGGAGAGGAGGCGGGGTGGGAGGGAAGAGGGATAGGGGTGCCGAGGAAGAAGAGTGGGGGGTACAGGGGAGGGGGAAGGGTGAGGGGATAGTAGTCGCTGTTAATGACCTGTGGAGTACTAGTGTGCAGGCCAGTGTGTATAAAACCTTTACTCCTCACACTAATGCACCGAGGGTCACATACGTCCTCAAAGACAGGTGATGTAGACAGTAGGGAAGAGACGGGTGTAGAGAGTGACGGGGAAGTTCTCGACAGTGACTCATAACACTCACCGCGTCCTTCACACCTTCATTAATAATCTCTATGTACTTCTTTACGTCATAACAACACCTACTTGCATCTCATAGTTCCCAAGTGTCTTCGTGTAAGGTAGAGGGAAGCCTTTGTAGCCAATCACACGTTCTGAATTTATGACGTCAGTGCAGTGAGGCCTTTCAAGCCAATCACACTCTCTTAGGCTTATGATGTCACTGGATAGACGTTTATTCATCCAATCACAGCCCTGTACAATATGATGTCATCTCCCATCAGTAAGGAGGCGGGGCCAGAGATATACCGGAGCTGTGATTGGCTGCAGTGACCTCCCCTGCATCACCCCGGGAAAATACACAGCCGCTGTAACATGTGACCTGAAGCAATTTGTCAACTCAGGTCATGTGGCAGCGGTCTCTTTGATACTAGATCCAGCGGTAAGTGGCGGTGCCTTTTGAGATTAGGTCAAGCAGGGTGATGGCGTTGACCCCTTTGGAACCAGGTCGGAACAGGAGGACAATACTTGGCGGGTTCCTTTGGCATTTGTTCGAGTGGAATAACGGAATACAGCGGTGGTGTTGATACCGTTGTCAGGAGGATCAACAGAGGCGGCGTCGATACCGTTATCAGGAGATTGTGGCACTGACATGACCTTCCTGCATTAGAGGGCCATCAGTCTTGACCTCGAACGACTCATCGACACTAGGGTCACTCGTCCACCCTGGCTGGACGTGTCGCGCTCACAGCTGCCCTGATTAAACACACATCAAAGACGCCGCCGCCACCACGACCCTTATCTGGCCGGCGGGGGGAAGGAGGGTGGACTAGAAAGTATATAAATCTACAAGAAGCTGACCTGAAAACTCTTTAAAAATATACAAACTACCGAAACCTGAACAAAAAATACAAACGATAAAATTACAACTCAACTTTAAGGTCACCAAAAAGTTATGAATAGTTTTGAATGGTTTGACTGTGTCTTGAAGGCGACGGTGATAACATGAACCAGTGAACACCCAGCCGCCCACACTGACCTACTAATCTACCGCAGTTTATGATACCAAGATGACGCGGGGTGTAGGTTATAGGGGCTTATCTGATCACCTAACCTCCCTTAGCTTATTTCACCTGATGATTAAACACCTTATTATTACCTGGGGAAGAGGTTAGGTTGGATCGGGTTAGGTCGTAGTGGTGGTGACGATAGTGTGGTACTTACCCGTCTCTTCCCCCCTCACCACACGATCACCCCACCACCGCCTGGACAACTCCTCCCCCTCACTCCCCCCTCCTTCCCCCCTCACTTCATCATTAGCCGGAAGTCGTCAGCGGAAACGAGAAGCAACCAACATCGCCTTGTCTACATCCGTCCCCCCCCCCACTCCCTCCCTTCCTCTCCTCCCCTCTCCCTCCTTCCCTCCCCTCCCCCTCCTCCCCCATTATGTCTACCCTAAGAAAAATCGTCAGGTTTTATCTCACACTCGATACTTTGACGCCATTATCAGCACGCCAACATAAAGAGCCTATCTGCACACCTGTTACCTGTCCACAACTGTTACCTGTACTGTACGTCATACCTGTTCCACCATCCACGGTACACACCTGTGACAGCGGAAAGACACCTGTACTTCACACACACACACACGCACACACAGGTCAGTCGTCGGGGGCACACGAGCTGAATACTATGTTTCCATGTCCCTCTCCTCTCTTCCCTGGGGTAATTCACTGTCCTGGGCCACAGACATAATTGGTGATTGACGTCGTAGCAGTGATGGTGGTAGTTGTAGTAGCGATAGTAGTGGTGGTGGTGGTGAGAACTGTCCTTAGTAATGTTTGTGAGGTGTACGTGGAGGTGTACTTGGGGGATGTACAGTACACGTAAAAGTGAAGGTGTACACTTGATCAGATACCCACCTGGAGAGAGTGTACTGTACAGGTGCGTGAGGAACACATATACCAATAAGGGAGATCTGTGTACACCTGTAGGAGAGAGATTGTAATATAACAGGTGTTGAGGGGCGTGGGGACCATGCACACTTGGTAGAGGGCGGAGTGTGTGTGTGTGTGTGTGTGTGTGTGTGTGTGTTGAGACAGGAGAACATTACCTCATCCTTGCAGACATATTATATACTGTGTGTTGTGAAGGTGTCTGTGATCACGGACCGGCGACCACACACACACACACACACACTGGGCCGTAATAGTTCCCCTTCACCACCACCATCGCCTCCGTCAGCATCGTCAGGGAGGAAAAATAAGAGAATGCAATGGTTGGCAGGAGGTGGAGGCGACAAGGGAGAGGCTACGACAACAAGAAAATGACTAAAAAAAACGAGTTATAGTAAAAAAATGACCGTAAATCCCGTGTGTGTGTGTGTGTGTGTGTGTGTGTGTGTGTGTGTGTGTGTGTGTGTGTCCCTCTAGTCACACCTCTTCTATATCTGTTTGATGGCCGTAACGTTTGGATTTATTTCTTCAGTGAATGATACAATTTTTTTTTCACCTGGTCACAGTAAACCTTCGTACGTAATCTTCACTACGTCTTGTTGTTATAATAGATGCTTGAGTTATTGTTTTTGTTATTTGTTTATACGTGTCTGCTTAATCTATGTGTATGTATGTATGTCTGTTTACGCATGTGTGTACCTCATAAAGTAGTTACCTGGAGGACGTCACTTATTTTTCCAAACTACGATCAAGTTTACTCGTACCATTATTCTATAACGTGTGTTCCTACCTGTATGATGCCGCCTTCATTAAGTGTTCCTCTCTCCCCCCCCTACAGGTGTGATGGCGCCCTAGCCTCAAACCTCGACGAGCCTCAACTAGTCATCACCTCCCTGGACGACCCTGCACCACCCTCCCTCTCCACCACCATCATCACCACTCGGGACGGACGCCACTAAGGTGTGTAAGTTGCTAGGGAGGTCAAGGTGGAGTTGACCCTTGACCCCAGAGTGTCACAGTGGGTCCCGGCCCGCCTCAAGTCCTCGCCAGATGACGATGGAAAGCCCCCATCACCCCCTGAAGGAGAGCCCGCCGCCTTCCCCAGGAGACGATAGTAAAGGAAGTGAGTATTGGGTAGGCTTCTGTGTGTGTGCCCTGCTCCTGTCACGGTCCTGTCCGTGTGTGTGCCTTGCCTCTGTCACGGTCCTGTCCGTGTGTGTGCCTTGCCCCTGTCACGGTCCTGCCCGTGTGTGTGCCTTGCTCCTGTCACGGTCCTGCCCGTGTGTGTGCCCTGCCCCTGTCACGGTCCTGCCCGTGTGTGTGCCTTGCCTCTGTCACGGTCCTGCCCGTGTGTGTGCCTTGCCTCTGTCACGGCCTCGCCCGTGTGTGTGCTCTGTCCCTGTCACGGTCCTGCCCGTGTGTGTGCCCTGCCCGTGTATGTACTCTTGCCCTGTCACGGCCCTGCTCGTGTGTGTGCCCTGCCCCTGTCACGGTCCTGCCGTGTATGTACCTTGCCTCTGTCACGGCCCTGCCTGTGTGTGTGTTCTGCCTCTGTCACGGTCCTGCCCGTGTGTGTGCCCTGCCCCTGTCACGGTCCTGCCCGTGTATGTACCTTGCCTCTGTCACGGCCCCGCTCGTGTGTGTGCCTTGCCCCTGTCACGGTCCTGCCCGTGTGTGTGCCCTGCCCCTGTTTGTCCCCTTGTAGGACTGTGAGTGGACCACGTCAGTGTTCCTCTTCCTGAGATACGAAGACGTGGGATAGTGTCTCGGACGCCCTGCTTGCTTCGAACTCTTCACTCCTGTTGTGGAAGAGGAGCAGGAACGAGGGAGGTATTGAGGAAGAGGAGGCAGCACAAGGGGGGGAACTGAGGAACGAGGAAGTGAAGGAAGAGGAAGAGCAAGGATGTGATGAGGAAAAGGTTACAAGAGGCAGGAAGAGGAGCACGAAGGTATAAGGAAGAGGAAGAAGAGGAGGTAGAAGTGAGGAAGGAGGATAAAGAAGAAGGCAGTGTTAAAGAAAAAGGAGGAGGTAGTGTTGAGGAAGAAGGAGGCAGTAGGAGGCGCGGCGGGTCAGTTAGTCCCCGGGGCTGGGTCGGGCCAGACCACTGACCCACCTGACTGGACATGACCAGACTCCCGAGTAGTGACCCGCCCCAGGTCCTACCTGTCTACCCCGCCACCTGCCCGACCTGCTCCCCCACACTGGTCAGGGGGGGAGGGAGTGCCTGGGCCCTGGAATGAGGGGGGGGGGGAACTTGACCCTCAAAATTAAGGGGTTGTTTTTGATCGTGCTGGAGTAGGTGGGCCTGATGTGTGATGGGTTTAGGTGCTGTGGGGGACCTGAACCTGGACTATGTAGGTGTACCTGGGGACATGGTGGCTACGCGGTGGACCATGGAGGTGGACCGCGGACCTGCATGGAGACGCGGAGGTCAGGAATCCCACACTTGATATTTTGTTCCTCGCTGGCTGCAGGGATAGAAGGACGGCAGGTCTCAGGTGGGCTACTGAGCAGGGACCCTCAACTCCTGACTCACTGCTTCAGGAGCGACATCAGTGTGCCCGGGAGACCTTGTGTGTACACACCGCCTTACCTGGAGGAGCAAGAGACCCACTCGGTAATGGTGTCACCAAACCTCTCAAGTACAGTACATCTTGAGAGTTACTTTACACACGTTCGGAAAACAAATATCATAGTCTGGTCTTAACTTGAGAAACAACAGCGCGGTGATTAACGGAGCTGTTGCCGGAGTCTAAGGGCGCCTGTGATGTGTTGTTTCATGTCAACGTCGTCTTCGTTAAAGAACTTCGGTGTGTACGAGCATTGCCTCACCTGATCGGGGTACCTGAGCTGCCAGGAACCATTTGTGATTCATTAAGGTTACGGGTAGCAGCAGCGGTTAGGCGGGGGGGGGGGTGTGGGGAGATAAGGATGTGTTTAGGGAGGATAGTGTTGTGGGTGCAGAGGTGTGTGGGGAGGAGGGCAGGGATATGTGGGGGGAGAGGACAGTGTGGGGGGGGTGAGACAGTAAGGAGGGAGTATGGGTGGAGTGAGAGGCCAGGCCAGGTGGGGACAAAAACCTGGCCCGCTGAAGGTGACCGGCCAGCCGCCCAGGGTCACCGCTGCCACCCCTGGAAGGTCACACTGCCCCACCACCACCTCAATTGGTAACACCGCTACCACCACCACCACAGGTCCAACACTGGTAGCTGGTCTTACTCCACCACCGATAACAACCATCTCTACTACCACTACTGTTCCTCCCATAGTTACTACCACTGGGCATATCACACACACCGGCCCCTCCAGAATACAGGTTAATTAATATTTGAACTCGCCTGTGTCATCTTGGTGCAAAAGTTGTGGTGGAAGAAGGGCGTAAACCCCCAACACCTCTCGTGAAAGTTTTAATTTCTGGCTGAAGTGTAATTTGTTTAAGGGGGGGTAGGAGGTGAGGAGAGGGGCAGTAGAGGGGAGGGGAGAAGGGTGAGGGAGTGAAGAGAGGAGCGAAGGAAAGAGGAGGGAAAGAGGGTAGGGAAGGAAGACACAGAAAAGGGGAGAGAAGGAAGGGGGAGGAGAGAGAGAGAAGATGCAGAAGAGGGGAAAAGAGTGGAGAGGAAGATGCAAGAGAAGGAAGAGAAAATGAAGAAAGAGGGGAAAGGTAAGAGAGCAAGCATTAGAGAGGGGAGGATGAGAGGATAAGTACCACAGAGGGGAGAAGAGAAAGGAGAGGGATTAATAAGAAGGAGGAGAGGTGAATGGGAGATAAAGAGAGGGATGAGGGTGTAGAAATGAGAGGGCAGTTAATAGGAGAAGGGAGAATGAATGGTGAGAGATTAAATAGTAGTAGTAGAGAGGTGAGGAGAAGAAGTGAGAGAGAGGGAAGGAAGGTGAACACACACACACACACACACACACACACACACACACACACGACAGTAATGATCAAGTGTTTATTTACATAGGTGGTGCGGGCCGAGGTGGTGTGGACTCGTCCTGTGGAACCTCCCATAGCCTCCCATTCACCTCCCATAGTCTCCCATACGCCTCCATAGCCTCCCATAATCTCCCATAGCCTCCAATACATCTTCATAGCCTCCCATAGACTTCCATAGCCTCTCGTAGTCTCCCATACTCCTCCATAGCCTCCCATTCACCTACCATACCCTCCAATAACCTCCCATAGCCACTATACACCTCCCATGCACCTCCATAGCCTCCCATATACCCCCCCATAGCCTCCCATACGCCAACATAAGACTCACTTTGCCTGCCATACCCCCTCCCATTGTCTCCCATACCCTCCCATTGTCCGTGTGTCCGTCCGTATCTGATGTGCCCCGAGGCGTCTGTGTTTATTTGTTTTTCTCTTTTGTTTTGACGAGTTTACGAAATTCTCCCAGGATTGTGTAAGGCCTTGGGGCTGTGATACATTTGCTGAGGAATATTTATTTATTTATTTATTTAAAAAGAATAAACTCGTAACACTAATAAAGACAGAATATAGTGAAGATAAGGAACTCTTGTATGTGAATAAAGAAAAATAAATTCATAGAAGGGTTTAATAAGCAAAAGGTGATTGTGAATGTTAGGAAAAGTGTTTGAGTTTGTGTGTTAGGTTAGGTTAGGTTAGGTTGTGTGTCTTAGAGAATAATATTAAGTTAAGAAAGAATTTGAAAAAGAGGAAGACAAAGTGAAGGAGGTGTGAGGGGGGAAGGGAAGAGGTAGGGGTAGGGCGGGAGGGGGAAGGGGTCATATATTGGACTTGTGAGTGTGTGTGAGAGAAGAGGTCACCCGGGGTCACGCCTCCTTGGCTTTTGTTTACATGTGTGACGTCATGAATAATAGGAGGGTGGGGTGGGGGTGTGAGTTGAGGAGGGGGAGGGTGGTCGAGGGGTGAGGTGGGGGGGGTGGAGAATGGATAGAGTGGAGAGGGAGGAGTAGAGATAAGAGGGAAGAAGAGAGATAAGATAGGGAAGAGAATGGATGAGATAGAGAGTTAATTGAAGAGAGGAAAGTGGAATATGTCAGGTTTAATGAGACTGACGTATAAACACACACACACACACACACGACCCAAGTTGACCTGGTTCTTGAGGTCACATCGTCACATCGGTAGAGAACACTCATATGAGAGAGAGAGTGAGACCCGTACGTGAACTTTTCTCCCTAACTAGGCACTAATGACAAGAGTCTATTTACAGTAGACTCTCAATTCAATTATGTCGACATTTTGGCCAACAACTCTGGAGGAAAGACAAAAATATTCAACACAGGAAACAGTTCGTCGATAATTAAAGATTCTTTGTCGTGATAGAAGTAAACAGTCCTGTATATCGCTATTTACCGATTTTTAACTATACCTTCCGTTATATAGCGATAATTACCGATATAGTGGTGTGTGTTACGATTTAGAGTGATATTTACCGATACTTAGGTACACATTCCGATATATAGTGATGTTTACCGATATATTGTTATACATAATATTTACCATGAAGCTATTTTTAGATGAGTTGAACCAGGCCTTACCGCGTCTGTTTATCGTCAATAAAAAACTAATTAGCGATATATACCGAAAGCACGGGCCAGAGGTTGGGGCGTTAGGAGGAATATGGAGAACCAGTGTTTTAGAGACGACAGGTGAAAGTGGCCAAGGTGCCATGGCCCAAGGTGAGACGAAGGTGTATGTCATGACCCGACCTAGCGGTGACCTGACCTTACGTGGGTGCCGTCGCAGTGAAGGTGTGTGTGTGTGTGTGTGTGTGTATGGTGCCATGACCTGGGCTAAAGGGGGTCATCCTAACCTTATCTTGACCTTCCATGGATAACGTTTGTATCTTGACCTTCCCTGGGTGACTTTACACTGGTGACGTCACGGGGGGGGGGTTAAGTGTAGTTCTGAGAGAGAGAGAGAGAGAGAGAGCACCAAAATAATAATGTACTACGGATGTTTTTATCATTCTCTAGGCACCTTCCTGTCCAGCCCAACCACAACATAACCAACGTTCATCTCCTCCTCTTTCTTATATATTATTTGTTTCTTATTTATCTATGTATTCACTTATACATATACGTTCACACAGGCTCAACGCGTACATAGAGGTGATACATATTTATAA